ATATGTTTTTTTTAATTAAGAAAATGCATATTATTTGAAGAATCAATAGATACCTATATCCAGTAGCCAGTGGATCTAGTCATAAGTATATTTGAAATATAATTACTATTAATTTATTAGTATATAGTACATGGCTAATCGTTGTAGGATAAAATGTTAAAAATAGGTACTATATATAATATATAGATACATATTATAATACAACCGTTTATGTCCTTAGATAGGTAGGTTATACTTGATACGATATTATGGTAAAATATTTTGTTCATTATTTGTTTAAAAAATCAAATTTTCATGTGTCGTAGATAATTTGAATACTACGTGATGCTCTCACATCTTGGATTTTTCTAATATTATTAATTTCCTCGTTCTGTTAAAAATGAACAAACAGAAAATTCGGCGTTAAAATCAGTTTTAGTGTAGGAACCTATATTTCAGTTCACGAGTAAATTCGATCAATTTTAATTAATTTGACTGAGATGGGTCACTTTATGGTAGATTAGATACCGCACTTGGTTTGTTTTCATATGCGGTTCATATTACAATAATATTATCTAAACTTTCCTGATATCTCTACTTGAACAACAATTTCCAAAACTTTCGTGAAATCCGGTTGAGGATGTTTTGAGTCTATCTAAGCTACAAACATACAAGCATTACAATTTGAAACAATTAATTAAATATTCAATTATTTTATTTAAAAGAAATCCCATAAGACGAGTGGTAGTGGGTTGGCCAAGTCATTAATCATTTTTTTTTAAATGTGTATAAATATTATTTCTGTAACCAAAGGCAACTCTGTATATTGTATATACACAAAAAAAATATTCGATTTCCTGAGCCAAAACAAAATTCATGTGTGAGCTATGTTAAAAATAAACGAAGTAAAGAACATTATACCCGGGTTTCGGGGAATATGATGTGTGAAAAATTTAGTGCCAATAGGCATTAGCTGATTTCGCTAGGGAAAAAGTTTTTTTTTGTGTGGACCTTAAATCCACATAGGTAATATGATATCTGATAGACAGTTATAAAAAGTTGAATCTCAAAAAATTGATGTAAAAAAGTATTTTCCTTCTCTTTTTTACATACTTTAGAGTTAAGACTGTCAATAACTACGTTTGCATTTGATAGAGATTGGTATGATTAAAAATACATTATTTATTCTTACTTGTAATAAACAATGATTACGTCAGGGAAACTTAAAATTACATTACATTTAAATAGTTCAAATATTTGAGTTTATAGCTGATTTAAAAACTATTAATTTATAAACTCATTTTTTTGAAACTAGATTATTTAGTTTACTTACAAAAATACTGGTCAATATTATTCGCAAGTTTTTTTTATGAAAACGAAATTTGAAACTGTCCGTTACAGCAAAACTTTTCTTTTTTAGCTTTTTCACTTAACATTTCAGACATTTGAAATAAAGTTGAATATAGAATAACTGTACTGAATAATACGAAACAGCACACTAAACGTTACATATTAACTTCAATATAAGTCGAATTGCATGTATCATTGGGCAGGTAAGATATTAGTTTGATTTAATAATTACACTGATTAGATTACACTATCACGAAAGGCGAACGACCATAATAAATAATAATATAACAAGCACTGATGTACTACTAATATAAAGCACTTCGACTATAAAATTAGAAAATCAATTGTATGGGACTCACCTGTAATGCAGCCATCATATTATGATACATGTACTCATGTGCCTTCCTAACTATGTCTAGTTTGAAGAGGTTTTTCGATGAAATACAATTTGACTACTTACTTTTTGGTACCACTATTATAAAACCAAATGGTGCAACTGATTCAAACATAGTTTTCTCCCGACTTATAATCAAAAATTAAGATAACGAGTTACACGAGGGTCAATTAGTGAATGCAGTGTACGAATTGTACTAATGTGTGTTTTCGAATGCAGTGCATAGTTAGTTGCATTTATAATATGTGCGATAGTTTGGTTGATCGGGGAGATTCCGATTTGCTCATACATAAATTAAGTACTTAAAGTACGGGTTATTGCTCAAGATCGGCGGGTACCGGTTAGGTACTCTGGTACTCGACAAGTCGACTACTTCATACACCGATTAACTGAACATAATTATATGGTTTCCCTCCACTATTACAGTGGATTCGGAGGGTTCTGAGGGCAGGGTATCGACGTTTCAATGCTTTTGGACTTTCTTCGAGCTCAAGGAACCCGAATCGAATTGCGGAGAACATTTTTTATTATTACCATGATAATATTTTATCGTTCGTATTGGATAGATACAGTGAACTCAATTTGTTTACACTGATGTACATATAATATTTACATTTTTTTTTTATTGCGGAAAATAATTTCGATATCGAAATACCGCGATAACGGAGCGAGCTTATCAGACAGACGTGTGTCCGTATATAGAGTCAACATCGAACTAAACTGATACACTAACCTATATTTATTAAATATGTTTGAATTTAAAATTGGTTTTATCACACGACCCTATTACATAAATATCAGCATAATATGTGAATGTGATGTAGGCGCAAGGTGCCAAAATAAAGAAAGAAAAAAGACACTTTTCTCAGAATGAAGAGAATCCTCTCATGAATTTTGATACTAGTTTAATAATAATTATTGTTTACTATCGAATACTATAGTAATATAAGATAAATTATCAAAATAACTATTTAGTATTTATACAATTATATTCATATTTATTATAATATGACTATGGTGGGTAGTTAAAAACAAAAAAAAAACGAAACCACTGAGCCGCCTTTTTGGCCTTTTTCGGGATTACTAACACTTTTGATATTTTTTTATGTAAGTCCTTTAGTTACAGGATTTATGGGAGTCAGAAAATTATTTTTAACCTTCTGTCATACCTACGCTTTATAACTTAATAACGGACTTGAGAGATGTCTGAGATCAATGTGTATGAAATGGATTATTGTTACATAAAAAGGTGCTTTGCGTGTAGCTATATCAGTTTTGGATTGAAAACATTGAATACGATCACTTGGAAAAGTGTAGACCTGTGCCTATATTAGCTTTTGTTGAATTTTAAATTATTATTAGATAGGCACTTTTCTTTAAACTTTAAATTGATATGTATATGTATTATGTATTTATTAAAATGGTCAATATTTTGATATAAATTATGGATTTTAATTTGTTTTAACTTCAATATGAATTTCGCTTATTATTAAAATGGTGCAATCATTATTGTTGTGGTTTTTTTTTCAGTGGTATTTTTTACTAACATTTTTTTTTCGATTTAGAATACCACTTAAATTTTAACCACAATACCACAATATTTTATTTTAGATTTCTTCCTACGTGAGAATAATAGATAGACATTTACTTATAACTTATATTACCTACCGATAAACAATACTAAAGCTATTTCAATTTTTACATTTTAATTAATTTTTGTTTACAATTTTTAATCGATTTCTGTTTAAAAACTACAAATCGAATATTATTTTCATAGAAATTATGGATTCGAATTGTTTTTGATGTCAATATAAAGTTTAGAGTAACACAAAAAAAATGTCGATTTCAATCCCTGATAATTGTTTATTGTATAAGTTGTAAAAAAAAAGTAACTAATAAAACGATCTCATTTTATATACAAACAAATTATTTGGACACTGTGGAATATAATTAACACTAAACAACTAGAACAACAACAATTAGTGATATAAGATCGACAGAATAATGTACGCACAGAGTTTATAATACTCATTTAGTAGGTATATAATAATATATAACAAATTATTATTATAGTTAAGCAGTAACACGGCGCTCCGTGTAGGCAATTTTGATGTAGCTATACATTTTTTTAAATGTTAGGAGAAAGAATAACCATCAATACTGATTCTTTAAATATAAATAATAATATTCCTAAGCTGGTAAATATTTTAATATAATTCAATTTATAAAAGTAAATTCTAAATAAAGTATTATAGGTACATACAATTATATGTATATTGTACCAGTATGAATACAATTATATCTATTATATTATGTTATACGAGATATATAAAATACTCAAAGTATAGAAAGTTTAATATTGATTTCGAAAAATTTAAATTTAAATACACAATCCATGATTATTATTGTTGTTTTTTTATAGTAAATTCTAGTGAATTTGGCTACTATGATTCTATTAGATTAATCAATCAATTAATTATTTGGACAAGGAAATGCAAACACAATATAGTGTACACCGAATTTGATGCAATACTTTTATTTTATCATTCTATAATAGAATTAATATCGAAGACAATATAATATGACATTATGTTTTAAAAGAACCTTTAATAGACATTTTTAATTGCTATGTTTGTTGAAATAATTTTTTGTTTTCTCATCAAATGAAGGTTAGAGTCTTTCAATAATGACCGGAAAAATATATAAATATATATGACATATGTGGCGTTTAATGTAACTACCAGAAATTATTGTACGAATATTATCCTAACAATGAGTTTAATTTATCTTTTTTTCGTGTGAATCTTTAAAATGTTTACATGAAAACAAAATAATTATGAATAATATTAAATTAAAAATTGATAAGTTTAAAAAGCAAAAACAAAATATGAGGGTTTTTTTACAATAATAATACAGTCTGAAGGTATATTATTCATGTCCATAATGTGTCATAATAATCACATAATATTTTTGAAAATATAAATTAACCTTAAAATTATTCATATATACACTTAATATGCTTTGTGTCCTGCCAATTTTGATTTAGAACCGCACCTTAGTGTAAGCCCAATATTATTTAAACAAATATATTTATCTAGATATGATTCTTCATAGATATTTTGTTTAAAATAAAATTTTAGGTGTTTATTGTCATAGAAATATAGCAGATATATTGTTCACTTTGCTCGCAACATTTTATAATACGTCTGATAATATTATCTGAGGAATTTAATTTTAAAATAAGGATAACTTATTATCATTTTTACGTATGTTTTAGTGTCGTTAAAATGAGATTTGTCATCTTGACATCGTCTGTGGTTTTGCAATACTGAGCTTAAAGACAGAACTTTTGAAGTCACCTCAGACGAGGAAAAAATATCGATTTTCAGTCATGTTGTAAGACTCCCCCGTAGATGACTTCGTCGTATTTTTGTCACGAAATTAGATGCAAATATATACGGTTAGTATGATATATTTTAAGAGTTTTGAGCTGCAGAAAACAAAATACGAGATTATAAAGATAAAAATAGTTATTAATAGATTAACGTCACAGTGTATACAGATCGTACGCATCTATCGCTCCTGATAAAGTAATGAATAGTAGTTCTATGGTGTTTTACTATACCTAAATGAAAGTTATGTGTGGCATATTTTTGCGAGGCGTTCATAATATCTGAATACACATAATATATCAGATATAAATTTAAATTTTTAGCCAAGTCAAAATTTACAATTAAATGTAAATAGAATTATATTTTAAATTATTATAATTTTCTTAGTAAACTAATTTTAATAATTAAATTCATACTTCAAACTGTGTGAAGTCCACTGTCATTATAATTATAGGTACCACACATAAATGAGATACATTGCAGGCAATTTCCATTAATTGGTATATTATCAAAAAGATTGAAAAATCACTATTTATTAATAATTATTCATACAATTACTGTTTTCTTGATGCCTTTTTACCGACTGATATCTGAAACAACGCATCCAAAAATATTTTCTACTGTTTAGCAAGTAAAATATTTATTTTAATTAGCAATAACTACCCACTCTGTTATTGTTACTGTTGGCTTTCATTAGTTAAAGTTGTACAAACGATTACACTTTACAACAGTGGCGTGTTCATAGACGATAACGCTCTCCACTATGCGTATGAAAGGAATACTTATTTAATTAGCAATAGTAATATTATCATATTAGAAATTATTTATAGATGTTTGTATAAAAATCATATATTTTATAATATATAATTTTCTCGAGTTATGGTTTTATAATATTATGTTTTTCAATTTTTTATTTTCAAACTCGTACGCATATACTGCTTTGTCAATTAACTGATTCATTGTATAAGTTATAGTAGATAGGTACATACATATATTATGGGTACATAATTCCACATTCTCTAAATATTGTTACAACGTAACTCTGTTGTATTCGTTTTTAAAATCTAAAAAAGGTATCATAGAAAAACCTATACTATAACGGAACAGCGTTATTCTCAAAAAATGTTAGTCCGGTACTCCTCTCATCTAAACTTAAAACTAATTAAATAAACCAGTCGTTCGTAGTTCAATTTTTATCCATCGAAATACTACAAAATATAAAATCAAAAATACTTAATAATATTTAGTCGTTCAAATTAAAAACTTAAAAAACGATAAAAAAAATTGGAAAAAAGTAATTTTGCAATGAAATCGAATCATGTAAAATAAAATATTTTCAAATAAGTTAAGTTTAAGCATATACACTGAAATGGACCACCTTGTATATATAGGCAGATTGCTTGTGCGTGATTCAACGAGACAAACCATTGATTCAGTGCCAAAAATGTGAGTCAGTAAATTCGACGCATTTAAATTTTACACGTGACATAACACATTGTTCTAATGTTTTGCTCCACACACATTTACAGCTCCGTCGTGAGTTCATTTTTGTCTTATAATGTTGTCATTATTTTTAAGTTTTTTGAAATCTATCAAATACGACCGCAGTTCTACGCACGAATATAATATCATATGAAATTATGTTATTATAAACGCGATAATAATATACACACACGCATGTATGTGACATAATATGATATATTATACACGGTGCCTGTCGTGCGTGTTTGTACCGCAGTCAATAATTTTCTTACCTAGTGACTTATATTCTTTCTGAAATATGATTTTCAAATCGTAAAAGCCTCCCTAAACGTCTGCTTAAGCCTTAAACTGTTATCCGTAATACTGTTAGCCTAATAATTCAGAAGAAACTGCTACAGTTCAAATTTAAGTTGTATACATAGAATTTTTCTAAAATTCATACCTCATATAAATTGTTGAAGGTATAATTTATAGTAAAAGAGTGCTCATTTGAAAAAATAAGTAAGTCCCAGGACACTCTTAAAATCGCACAAAATATAATCCATTAGAAAATATGGCCATACGTAGGCTTAAAAAATTCCGAAAATAAGTATTTGAATGAATTCATTATTAAATACGTATTTAATGAAAAAAATGGGGGCAAGCATGCTCGGTGAGTCACAACTCACACTGTATGTATTTAGAGAGTGGGTAAGTTTATATACAACCGACGTCACAGAGAGAGTAACCGCCAGTTTATATTATAAATTATTATGTGGCGCATATAAATGTATGTTTATAATTGCTTTAACTATATTTTATCTCACGTACAAGTCTCTTGTTTAATAAAACACCTGCGTATGATAATTATTATAATAGTTATTTTAATTCAGTGGCGACACGCATTAGTCGTAAATCATTGTGCTGTGTTTGAACGCCCCCAATCGGTCTGTATATATATACATGTATTATGAAACTTCAAGTCAACCTGATTTTAAATAGTTCATAATATTATATTTTACTTATTTAAGTATTTAAAAAAATTTAAAAAATGTTTGTAGTTATTTCAGTTTTTGTTACCTACCAACTTTCTTTAAAACACCTCCACTAGGTGCATAATCTACCCTTTACATGTATGTACAAAATGTTTAAAAATATTCTTCTACCTGTTGAAAATTCTTGATTACGCCTGCGTCTGTGTACAACAAAGCTATTTAGGTATTGTTCTTAGCCATTAGGGTTTGGATTTAGATGAAACGTTACTTTGGTGCCTGGTTGTTTATAATAACGTACATAAAGCTAACTCGTAAGTAGAGAATGAGTTTGGATGAAAATTCAACTTTTTAAGCTATTTTTCAAGTTTTTATACAATCCTTCTAATTTTTTTTTCTTGAAGTGAATGAAAATAATTGTAGTTTACAATTTATTGTTGCTATAAATCCAGCATATTGGCTGGGGTAGGTACATGATGATGTTCGGGTCAGAAAGTATGGAATGTGTAGGTATATAGATATATATATTATATATCTATGTCTACCCTGTGGTGGACACTCGTCCACCACAGTTTTCATTTGCTTATGGAAATATAATAAAAGAGGCCATAACAATTCTTATATTTAAGTATTTAAAGTGTGAGTAGTAGTGTTCACACAGATCCTCCTCTGCTGTCGGTTCAAACGAAAAAAAAAAAAAGTATTTAAAGTGTGATCAGAAAAAATAACAGTAAGAAGTCAATACGTTTTCTAAGAGCATGTTGTAAGATTTTTAAGGCATTTTTTTAGGTCTTTTAAATCACAGCCCTATAATTATTAGGTAAACATTATTTTAAACTGTTATGTAAATATGTGATGTCCTCTCGTCTCGTACCACAGCATAATAATGTATCAACCGTGCACGAAGATGTGTAGGTAAACCTATACGGCTGAGTTATTAATAATTTAGAGGGATTCAAAACACCTATTTCGCAAGCGTTCCGCGTACGTATAGTACGCATCGTCGCGGACTCGAAAGCCCAGAAACATAATATTAGTGTAATATTATTTACAGTGCGATTCACCAAACATGCTATTACTACTCCCATTTTATATTCTTTAATAAATTATTTACAATACTATTATCATTATTAATATTGGGATTTTATAGTAATATGTTATATTATTATAATGATGAGTACCTTAAAATCAAACTTGAAATTTGAAACCCTCAGTTTTCAAGTACCTATTTCAATCTGGACTTTTTATTTCTATGTAGGCACATGTTCCGTGCTTTAATAATGGAGATGATTTTAGAGTCGTGATTCATCAATTTAATAGTAGATTTAAGTACTGCAGACTTCTGCTTGGCGGAGGAACGACAGTACTTAAAGAAAAGTACTCCAATAAAATTATATAAATTGATGCTGTGGATTGTTGTAAAATTGGTCTTTCAAGTGACGGTGGTATGATTCTGATTGGTTTTGATTTTTAGCTTGTTCGAAGGTGGCTCAGCCCAGTGATGTGGTAGATATATGTGCTGTCATTTTCAATACAATGAGGTCATTGCTTATTGGTGTTATTGTTAGGTTATGTAGGTTCAGACTGTTGGTTATTAAAAATCCTATTTTATGTAAGTTTATGTACTGTCACGTACTATAAAGTTACCTCAAATGATTGTCAACTGCCATCGTAATTTGCTACAGTAAAATATGATATAATAAAACTAAATTTCAAATGAACTCGACCATTGTCGTTTTTGAAACAGGAAAATACCTACACTATGTATTTTAAAAACTGAATACAATGATGAGCTTAAGATTTTAAACTGAAACTTACGGAGTTCAACGGGCGTAATAATATTGTATGTGTGTTGCCTCTACCTCTGCCCCCACCATAAGTTATACTCAAATTTTTTTACAAATATTTAGTAATTAATCCGTTTCCCATGACTCAAAAATTGATTGACCAGGGTTCAGTTGGAAAGTTACCGGAAAATATTCAGCGTGGAAAACTTTTTCTTGGCCTCCGAATTACAGGCTAGGTTCGGAAGAAGAGTGGCTTAAGAAACTGACATTAGAAAATGTACCTTCAGCAGTTCAAGTTCAGCTTCATCAGTCTTAACATCTGCGATTAGCGTGAATTTAACGATTATCGAACATTTTTCTTGTTTTTTTTGTAAGTTTTTCGTGATATTTTATTTTTCAAGCAACTTGTGAGCTTTTTATAATTCCTATATACTATACTTATAGTATATCTTATATAAGTAATTCGCCTAAGCATTGATGCATCGTAAAATAATAAGACATAGCTTATTCTAACATAGATGATGTGTTCTTACTTATAAGTTTGACGATACATGAAAGCCACTCGAATATTAAAGCTAACAACACAAAATTGGTTCTGATGAACGCGCACTTATTATAAGATTGATACGACATATGCTGGTGAGGCGAGGTCTAATTAAGGACTTTATACTTTTTTTTTCAAGCACTACAGAGTTTTGTTCGGCATTTGAAGAGTATTTTGTAGTTTTTTTTCAAACGTTAACCGCTATTGTTTAGCATGAATTGTTGAGCCAGGTAATTTTTTTTGAACATTTTAAAACTCAGTTTCCGACTTATATTTTATATAAAGGAAATGAGAACAAAGGAAAATATAGTACAGTTTACGATGATTGATTTTACTATTATAGGATGCTTTGATGATTTGAAAATTAAAGAAATCAATATGTATTATTTAAATTTGTATAATTTATATTAAAAATCATTTGACTATATGTCAACTATTATACCTTTTAAGTATTTGACTACATTACTACCTACTTAATATTATACTTTAAATGTTTTATGTACAAACATAAAGACAGTTATATAAAAAAAAGACTGTATTCATAATTGACAAATAATTATTCAAATACTTGTTTTTATATTTTGTAGGTAAATATATTATAGATCCCGTGCACTTCGTTGCTTGTTAAAAATACAAATGATTTAAAATTTGTGTTTGATTAGTCATTTAATACCTGCGCCCCGGCGTAGTGGTGTTCAAAATTTCCCGTGACAATTTTCCGCGGATTCACCTCATTTTAATTTCCATTAAAGATGTTGAATACAGTCATATAAAATACAGGTTCAAAATTATAATTAGAAATTAAAATCATAATAACTATTTTTTTTCACATTATTAACTTTGTATATGTGAAACAATTTTTAAAATCGGTTACCAATTATTGAGTGTCTGATTGTGATTTTTAGTTTTATCAATTATCACAGACTGCCCTTCTACCAAGCAATTGCACCTTATTGCGCCTATGTGGACTATTAATATTTATCATAGGGGGATGAGGTGACCGAGTGGTCTGACGCGTCCGCTGCGACGCAGCCGGTCGCGGTTCGATCCTCGGCTACCGGGCGGCATTTTTCTCCGGACAAGTCGCGGTGACCGGAGAACAAGTTCTGCCATCCCCCACCCCCGGGGCATGGCAGAAACCTACGGGTGCCCCATTCGAAATTCTGCCAAAAAACAAACACACACGTGTTCCCCCCTACCGTTCCAAAAAATATACAATACAAACTACAATACAAATCCTACTACAGCTAATGGCCTCAGTTGCCGAAGCTTAAGTTCAATAAAAAAAAAAAAAATATTTATCATTCGGCAGCCAAACTTTAATAACTCTACAGAATTTACAATTGTTTAGATTTCGATACAAAATATTTTTCAAAAATGATCACGACTATAATTATACGACAGGGACCGATATGATCGTCTTGCTTGTCCGGCATTTACAGCTATATAGCTGATGTACTGTCGCCAAGTATATTATATTTATATTATACAACGCAAAGTTCGTACGTATTATAACGGCGCCGCACGAGGCGATTGTCTCACGGCACACGACTATTATTATATTATTATATAATATAAAATATATATACGCGCACCGTATACTCGTTCTGGTCGCAACCCAATTGCAAATATCGATCTCCGTCTGGTGACGTTTATTTTCCCTTTGTTGTGATTCTGTTTTATCGTTCTATCTCTGTCTGTCTGTATGTCTATCTCCCTATCTATCGCGTCTGCACCACAATAATAATATAACATATACGAGCCGAGACGTCGAGCAGTATACTGCACGTCGACGAATTGTTTTCATTCACTCAGTAAAACCCGCATATAATATACAACAGACAGTCACGGGGCACCATCAGAAATGTCCGACACTGCAGGCTTTAGTATTTTTTTTAGTAAAACTCACACATACGTGTCTACTTAATGAAAATATTAAATTTTACATTTTTACGGTAGTAAATATTCACACATCATAATATATAGGTGCACACTACACGCACTACATGCATTATACACATAATTAAACACACGTCATACATAAAGTGATAGCTATAATTAATATACTCAATTAATGTTATCGTCATCATCATTGCCAATATAGGAGGTACCTGTGTACTCGGTCATAATCTGTGCCTTGACATGTAATCGCGTATGTACAAACGTGTGCAATTTTTTTTAAGATTGTACTAAGAATTTTTCTGTTATTGCCGAGAATAATATTAGGTAATATTAATATTACTATCCGTATCCAAAATAAAAAGGGTCCGCTATAGACGTGTCGAAGTACTACTTCGGAGTACCTACTTATCTTTTTTTCCGGGACTTAATCATTTGGTCTGTTGAGGGAGGTGCCCGTTATATATACAGGAGTTTTTTAAGTCTGATTTCACTGTATTTTTTTTACAAACCTAACCTAATGAGACATACATTATGTACTTATGTATATAGTCATAATATTAGAGTAAAATGTAGACAAGTTATTAACCTCACGGTAGGTGTCAAACGTACCTCGTGATATTATCAAAACTTTAACTTTTATCTCTTATAAAACATTTTTTGGAAATTATATCATGTATAGTAAATTCTAGTATGAATATTTGGTAATCATTTCAAGTCTATATTTAGAATAACAAAAAAAAAATAAAATCGATATTGCCGAAAACTGATATTTTAGGACAATTCCCGTATGCTCCCCATTTTTTGTTTTGTTTTAATAATTTTATTTAAGTACTGAGGATTTTCATTTTTCATTTTTGACTTCATAATACTATACCAATTAACCAACTAAACCTCCCTAGAAGTTAAAGATCGAAGCATCTTTTTTGATTATACAACGCGTGTACAATGTTGTCAATATACTCATCATTGAAAAAATTCGAAAATGTGTAGGTACATTATAGTGCCACTCGAAATATAACTAATGAGTGTTGACTAATTGATAATCTAGAATAGGGTTTCAAACGCCCCGGTTTGGCTGGAACTGCTGGTTATTCCGGAATCAAATTATGTTTTACATTTTGACTATTACTAAAACATTTCTAGTAGAAAAACAATATTTTTTTTGACAATTGATAATCAAGTTGATTGTTTGATTGACTGACAACATATATTTTATATTTACAATTGGTTAGGTGACGACAATTATTATTGATCGATATCTTCTTTATTTTCATATGACAATGTAAACTATCACTAATAATCGATAATTTTGTCAGTTACTTATTCATATTTATAACGCTGTGTTAGTTAATGTCTTACAAAAGTATGTTGTATACAGTGCTGACATTGTGAATGGTATTGCAGGTACGATAAAAAAATCGTGTGGTTAAATATGGCAGTTGACCGTGGAGGAGTGGTACGATTTGCCCTATAAAAATAATTTAAAAACCTTTATCCCGGTTTAAGTAAAATGCAAAATATATATTTTATTAATATCAATTTAATGTTATTTGTTGATAGATGATCGCTTGCACTGACCGTGGATAACATTATTATTTGAAGCGCAATTGCCGGCGGGGTAAAGCTGCTTACAGTGTATATCCGAATTCGTGTGCGAAGGACGCTTCCGGCGAGGACGACGACGCCAACGACGACTGATCTTGGCCGCAGCAGCTGCAGTTCCAGCCGGAAATGTCCACACCGGCGGTCACCGCTCCAGCGGAAGTCACCACCGCGGTTGACACCATGCCCGCTACCACGACGGTCACCACGGCTTTGGTCGATCCGTCGAACAATCGTCGATCGCCACCAGAAAAGTTCACTGGGAACGCGAGGCACGCGAGCATGCCGCAAATAGATTCTCGGCCTCGTCGTTTGCAGGAAACTACGATGACCGCCGCCGCGAGGTCCGCGAAGGAGCAGACGGCGCTACAGCAGCGTCAACAGCACGGCAGGTCGAACAGCGCGACGGCATCGACGGCATCTGATAGGGGTGTACACCGGGTCTTTGGTGGAGGGAGTGTAGGCGGTGCCAATGGAGGTGGTGGAGGCGGCGTCGGAGCAGGGTTTAAGAGCAAGTTGCGCAACTCGTTTCGGTCAACCGCCAAGAGGATCCGGCAACAGCAATCGGCCATCGACGCGCTGGCCAAGAACAGCCAAATGCTCGGGCTGCACAACCTCCAGGACAGTCCCAGAACGATGCAGGTGCAACGGGCCTTTGGTCGGGTAAGTGATGTGTGATGACGGTGATATGATTCATATAAAGTGTTCCCTGTACAACGTCCTGGTTTCAAATAATCATTAAATATTAAAATACAATTTTAATGTTATGCATCAAAATATATACACCACGTACCCTCGCCGAAATTACAGTGTTTAAGCGACACAGTTGTAAAACGCACCAGATGAGTCTCTAGTTTTTTCACCTCTGTCAACAACTCTTGAAGTTAATGAGAAACTGTCAAGAGAGAAAGAGTCTAAAGGGTCATCGGCTTATAGTTGCACTAATACACCAGACATGTTAGCCAGGGTTTTGGATGAGTTTGGTTGTTGTTGATAACCGTTGGTGGGATTAAACATATTTTGTGAAAAAAATATTTAAAAATAAATTTAGTAATCTACGAATTGTTGATTCGTACCAACTTCAATTTGTCTATTCAAGTGCAATCCTTTATTAAATATATCGTTTTGAAAGCTGGAGATTATCAATGGAACATTCTATTTAGCACAAAAGAGGTGTCCATTGATGGAGGTTTCACTGTTTACGGCGTATCTATGCATAGTGTTATTGAACTTTTGAAATGGATATCTATTTTATAAACATCGATCACAACGTGTAGACGTTTTTATTTGCATGTAATTGATACAAATTGTATCCAACACGTGGAATAGAAACCATAGTATTTTACACTTATATTTTTTAATTTACAACACCCAGATAACCACGTGGATAACTTTTCACGAAATGCTCATCAGAAAATACTAAATAACATTTGTGTACCTACCTAATTATAATTTATGAGAAAATAATGTACATATAATATTAATAGTCATACAATGAGTACTTACTTTTTTTTATTATTTGAATAATATCAATAAAGGCTATAATACTTGTATATACCTACACTATAAACGTGACTTAAGAAATTTTTAATTTCATATTCTGAAGCAGAATATTATTCGAAGTATTCAAAATCAAATTTTAACAAGTAGTTTTCTAATTATAATTTACTTCTTATGGGTACCACTTCAACTTAAAATACCTACTTATAAATCATAAACTACTCCTCCACAATTAAATGTTTATGTACTGAAGTACTCCACAATATATATAGAATAAGGATATAAAAATGCATGGTGTCATTAAGAAAAGTCAAAAATCTAAAAAAAATAATAACGACACAAATAGTAAAAATAGTCAAAAATATGTTTTTAGAAAAATTTGGTTTTTAACAGCTTAAAATGATGTAAAATACATATATATTTCTTAGAACATTAGTAGTTTTGGGAATAATTACTGTATTGCGTTAAATAGATCACCCACTGTATATACCATTATACAAGTTACAGCTATTGGTGCTGTTCTATACTACTCGCGCGAGTGTATTAAAAATAAAATCTACAACGAGCTTCTCGAACTATTATTGTGTAGTCTTTTTACTGTAGGTTAACCAATCAAAGAAATAAGAATGGTAGATACTAGATATGAGGTGATGCGTGAGATTTGGGAGACGAATAAAGGAATTTTCAAATAGTTTATGTGTCTATATATACACACCTCTCTATAGGTTAGTTCATTTATATAAAAAATTCTCAAGTGATTGAACACATTAGTTAGTCTTTAAGACTTGAACAGTAGGTATACCTACTTCCTACAATCATGGTCTATCACTTTTTAAAACAACAAACGGTCTTACAACCCTCCCATCCCACTACCCCGCACACGTGCTTTTTTCATTCCTGCGGTCTATATGTGTAATAGGCACGTATAAACATAATTTCAGGCCGATCTGTATAATATAATGTACTGCAGTGTATTGAAGGACACGCGTTCCGGAAGTACTGCCCATTTGGCCGCCTTGCAAAAGTGAATTTGTTTTAAACCAACAAACGAACGTTGAAAAGTCCCTTAAACGGTTACCGCGGTGGCAATTTCCTGCCGAAAGACCGAAGAGCAGTCGTGTTCGTTAAGCGACGGGTGTATGCATATATATATACATTATATAGTTCCTAGACCGTGTTAACTGTTGGGATATCGCCACGTGACTTCCGAAATCGGCGGCCAAAGAGAGAGAGGGGGGGAGGGGCGTACAGAAAATTACTTTATCGTTCAACTTCTTATAGTTAGTTTAAGCTTTCAAAAACACGAGCGCTAGTGTCCCTCATCTCACTGTTATAAGGAATCAAACAATCTTATTTTAAATTTTTCAGAATGACAATTAATTTTATCAACAGTAGTATCAAAAAGTTGGTACTAAACTGGCTTTTTCTGGGTATAATCCTTGCACTTTTGGGTACAAGGGCTAAAAAGAATACTTTTAGTTTAGATTCAGATGAAACGATTGAAACGTTTAAACATTAATATTATTGTTATTAATTTTTCTTTGATTTCTTTTAGATATTTACTGAACGAGTATACGCAAAAAGTTACGCTTAAAAACATTTATTAGGTACTCCTAATTTGGAACACTGTCTTATTTGATATTTTTAATGCTCTATTTATATATTCAACAATAATAATATTATTAAAGGCAGTTGTTTTGAATGAATACTAAATAGTATTCAAGTGCTAAGACTATTCATGTAAAATATTAATATAGAATAAAAATATAACATATTTATTCCTTGACCTTTCATAAAAACCGGAGCTTCGATGCCAAAACTGAGAATATAGGTATGATAATAATTTTGATTTTCTTTCCTTAAAAATAGTAAAACCTGCCTAATATAACCTTTTTGACTTTTACCAGTCAGTGTATTTTTCGCAATTTATTAATTTGTTTGGCTATCGAATATTCGTACAGTCGTTTGTTATTACAAAATAATGTGTATGAAGTTAAATGACACTTTTTGAGACTTTTTTTGTTTAAAAATCGTTGAAATATCTATTAGTATAGGTATAACATTTTATAGAAGGATTTTGAATTGGTTTGACACCCACAAACGCATATGAAAATAATTAAATCACAGTTTGAAAAACAGAAATTCGTATCGTTACAAAAAAGGACAAGTTTGTGAGGTCATAGGGGGGGGGGGGGGGCAATTATAACCCTTAATTTTTAAATTAGCACCCACATTATTTATGCCATTTGTGGTATACTAAAGTAAACTAAACTAAAAAAATAAGATGTTTCGAAATAAAATGAAAATTAAAGAAACTCGCATTTAATGCACCATGAAAAAAATTAATGTCTTGTCTTCTCAGCTGCTATATTAATTGATACTAATAATCATCTTCTTATTTCACTGACATGATTGGCCTACTCTCAGAGAGTTGCCTGTCTAGCTATACGTATGTTTTAAACTGCCTCCCTCCAGTTGTCAACTCGTGGGGTTTTTAGATCTTCTTCTACCACATCAATCTATCTTTTCCTGTGTCATCTTCTAGGTCTTCTTCCTCGAGGCTTACATTCCAATGTTGTTCTTGCTTTTTCTTTAATTAATCAAAATGCTCGAATAAAAACATATGCACCACAGTTTACTTATGGGTGAATGGCATACACAGCGGGTTTTCATTCAAAAAGAAGCTTGTATCGGAGCAGCCACTTGGTATGCACTTCTTAAGTGTTAAACAAATCTAAGCGTTCAAAAAAAATGTTGACCCTTAGAAGCATACTTAGTAATTCCAGAAATCCGAATTAGAATACAAATGCATATTAATTTTGAAAAAAACCGCTATGAGCATGCTCGCCAAATCACACTGTATGATTAAGTGTGACTTACAGCTTGCAGTTATTGTTCGTGTTAAATACGATTCAGTGATGTATATATATATGATAATTATATCTCCATATAATACATAATAATACAATACCTTATACTGTCTTGGTGAGCTGCGGTTGTAAGCTCAATCTGCGAAAATGCTCAGAGTGTGCCGGCGTTGCTAGCTCCCGGATGGGTGACCACCTTTTAGATACTTAATTATTTGTAAATAATCAACCTTGAGTCGTTATTCCTTGAATAAATAATAAATGTACGACAACTTTTAATATCAACCGTGAAGTTGTTTGTTAATATTTTACAATAATTGGGTGAGCTGCAACGTTCATTATTCAACGAATATTTTTATTCGGCGAACTTTTATTGAATAATATTCTGTGTACAGCGTAAATGGTTAAACATAAAAAAAAAATACTAAAAAATACTTAAACATTTGTATTATAATGCTGCTTATTATTTGAAGAGTGAAAAATTTAAATAATAATTTGTTTATAGGTTTGAATCCGATTATTTCGTTTTCTTTCCATTATTTTATTATATAATCATTAAATCGTATAAACTTATACTTAACGGACATAAAATGTTTGCTGTGAATAAAAATCTTTTATCGTTTATTACTTTATTTAGTGATTTCTAGTTTTTATTGTTTTTAGGTGTTGCTATTTTCTAATTATGTTTGAATAATAATGTGTTTAAGTGTTGACAAAAATATGACATAAGTACTTACATTGTAAAACTCCACTTTTTATTTTCTTCTAATTGACAATAATGAATATCTTTTATCGGTTATTATAATTTTCCGTCTCGCCGAACACATGATTTCCCCAAGCTAAAACATTCCTTGTGGATTTCCCACGTTATACCCGGAAACAACAACATAGAACCGACCCCATCCATTGCTTTAACATATAGTGACAATTATTTATTATTAATAATAATAAACAAACTATATAATTAATACAGAACAAAATATAAAGAATAAAGATTCAATGAGTTGTTTCTGACAAATAAAAAAATTTTAATAATTGTTTTTTTTCTTTATCCTTATTCACAATGAGTTATTTACGTCTTACGACTCAAAAAATAATGTATTCGGTTAATAAATTGATAAAAATCATTCATAACCAATTATTATAAATCAATTTATGTATTTTTTATATAACCATGAGTGATAAATAGTAAGTAATACCTATAAATGACCTACATTTTTTTTTATACATACTTCATAAAACAAAACAAAATTATTTAAGAAATATTGTTTTTTAATTTAATATTATGTTTTGTGACTCTCGCAGAGAAATAAAAGCAAATTACATTCAAACGATATTCACAATTCAATAAAATATGACGTATACATACCTGTTACGATATTACATATCGACGAGCATCACTGCAGTGTTGACACAGACTATGTTCTCTCATTTAAAGTTTGTTTTTTTAGTGATTGGATTTTGAACTAACTTTTTGCAAGCCGTCTGTGGTAAACAACAATAACTCTATATAACTCTGAAAAAAAGTTTCTCATTTGCTATTGCAGGCTACGCTGTTTCTCTATTTTATCGAATCGTTAATAGAAAGTACCTATAAGTGGTTCATTATACTATACATAATAAGTTACATGTACTTTACTGTTTTCATGTCTCCCATCGTTATTAATAACGCTGGAATCGATATCGATGGATGATGATTATAATATAATGTATACACCGGAAATCGTACTTAAAATAATAATAATATATTACATTGTATAGTCCGTCGTGTGTCCCTACCTATAATATAGTAGTTATATTTTATTGTGAAATGTTATAAAAACACATTAAAATATGTTTAGACTGTACGGATGTCGTAACGTTTTTGTGTTAAGAATAGCGTGGACGTCGGCAAAGTGGTTATCAGGTGGAGTGGAGGGAGTAGAGGGAGTGGAGCAAAAGGATTACCGCTTCAACAGTGTTATATGTTTTGAGACGACATCGTAAAATATCTTTGTCTTTGATCCCGGCACAGGTTAGGTCAATAAAAATTGAATTAAATATCCAACAGATTTAATTTCAGTTTGGCAGTTCAATAGCAGGTCGTCCTTCTCTTCCTCTTCTTCCATCGGTTACAATATAATAATATAAATATTATCACGATGATCGGTGAGCGTATGCTTATAATATAATGTTAATAAGTAATAACAACACCATCGAGATATTATATTATAAAAAGATATTATGAAAATATTATATGGGTATAAGAAACTTTTATTTTATAATAATATCGTTACTATATTTATTATTTAATATTATGTATGTTATTTTCGAATACCACTTGTATAGTTGTATACTGATTGTTGAGAAAAACATAATTATTCAATGGATGGAATCCAATTTTCGTCGGCGATGACCGTTGAGCCGAGGAGAACTAGTCGCGATGATATTCAAATTTCCGTCAAAGTCTCATTTCGTCGCATAGCTCACGGTCACATTTATTATACACGTATTTAGTATTAATTATTATAAAAAATATTATGTAGGTAGGTACACATAGGGACATCTTACGCCTATATTCTATACGAAACGTTTCCGAGAGTTTTACGATTCAGGAAGTATTGGTCCTGTATTATATTATTATCACGGTACGTGTGACCTAAGTGGACAGTAGGTACCCATCGCTGAACCCGAGAACTACGGTTTATGAGCTGCTGCAGCTGCACGCGAGTCGGACCGTGAGAAGTTCATTTTCTTTGCGAAAGACTATTATAACACGTACATACACGTCTCTCGTCTTACCGTCGCTGAGAGTTATAGTCGCTATTTCATATCACAACGATGTGACGCAAAGAGATAATAATCGACAATCGTTCCTCATACATACATTTTAATTAACGAATAAACCGAAAACATGCCCGGGTCTTTGACTTTGGTAAATATCACGTCGTCCGTTATTATATACTATAGTTCGAACATCCTGAAATCTGTGCCATTTTATCGTGCTCATTTTATTTTTATTGTTCAGGAGATTCCCGGTCAGACGTCCAAACATCGACCTCAAAACCAACCGGGCGTGGTGTTGTATTCGTCTTCGGGAAGTGACCACAGTCTCGGAAGAGAGAGGTCGCCGACCATTAGCAGCTACCCAAAAGGATCTCCTTCGTTGTGGACAGGTGAGAGACTTTAAATGAGTTTTTAAAAATCCGTATCAGAGAGTTTTTATTTGTACTGTATTTAGCTTATAACATTATAATGAGTAATGACCTATACCTGATACAAGCATTTAAAAGTGTAATCGTGTATGTTTGTAAACTATGCATGGTTATTATTCTTAGTATAATATAGAGTACTGAGAAGGAATATATTTGAAGTGTTATTTACATTTTTCCAAACAACAAAACTATATAAATACTTTGACGTCCGTTAACATTATTGATTCGAATTCGGTAGGCTACTTAAATTTTGTTATGTCTGCGGTGTACAATGTTTAATTTTCATAATTTATTAGCTATTTAAATTTCATAATATATCAAGTAATGTTCAAACTATTTAATTTTTATACCGTATTAAGAAAGTAATTATTTGAGAACTTAGTTATTATTTATTATACCTTTAGGCAGGCATTATTTTTTTGAATAAAACTGAAATCGATTTTTCGAATTCTAAATTAATATTTAAGGTTAAATCGTTATGCTTAATTTAGATTACGTCAGCGCAATATTTAATTTCCATCTCAAGTCAACGTGCAATTTAGATAAACAGCATTCATATAAAATCGTTTTCTATGATTTTCGATTTATCTTGCAGTTAAGTCACCTGTTGGAAAAATTATGGGATGTAATATTTTTTATGGTTTGACATATCGTTTTAATATTTTATTATTATTTAACAATTGACTTCATATTCGACTTGAAAAATAAAAATAAATATTATATATTATATTTCTAAAATATTATTCTCTTTAATTTTTGTGATAGGTGATTTACTCTAAACATAAAATTGTTTTGAGTGAATGCGTTCTGTCAATGTTGCGCGTGGGTCAAAATAATAAAACAAAGAAGACGCCACTGCTAAGCGCACACCCACATATTATATTGTTCCGCCCTATGAACGTAAAACATAAGAAATGTGTGTTCTAAAGTTCCGATGTAGTGTAGTAATCTTTAATAGAAGAATGAACTGATCTATTATCAAACTTAAAGGTAAGAACATTATTAATGTTTTCACATGAATTGTATACTCAATATATTAATTATTAAACGAGTTATAGACATTTTTAAACTGTAATATTTTAAATACTTATAACTTGCTTCAAAATTAAAATATCTTAAAAAACCCATGTGAAAATATAGACATGTTCTTACCTCATAGTTTAATAGAAGGTAAATTCAATTTATTATTAAAGGTTAAATACCACACAAAATTGAACTTCTGAACACAAATTATCAATGTCGTATATTTGTAAAACGGAGACAACATACTTCGGGGGTTTGGTACTTGAATTAAACTTAAATATAGAATAACCATATTACTATTATAATAATATATTGGCTGTCCTATACACGAAAATTATAAATATATTGAAATTCAAAATAGCAGACGTAACCTTTAGTATATGATTATAATATTATAACGTGCCAAAGTCGAGCAAAATATTATGTCAGTAATAAAAATGCAGTATAATACTCTTGAATTGAATTTCGATAATCGATGGTGATAATTTTTTTTTCCAATTGTAAATTTAATCAATTACAGACCATAGGAGTTTTACTTGGATAACTACAATTATTATTGGTATGTTTAATGGTGTATTTCAAATCACATGCAATTTTATTTCAAGCGCATTTCTATGACACTCTTGTCGTCAGTTAAAAATAAATCAGTCACAGAACAAAGTTTATTATATCATGGTTGGTTGTGAGCACTATATTATTATTGTCACTTTTTATACTACGGACTGCCACGTGTGGTTTCGATTGAGTGTAAATTAAAAACTCGCTTACTTTCATACCAACGCCGAGTTCGACGAAGAGCTTTAAAGAACAAATTACTTTTCTAGAATTAAATAAATAATGAACTTTTCCGTATAAAAAAGAATCATATTATTAGTACACTATGACGATATTATTATTTATTAATGTGAAATAACAACCCAGCAGTCAAGTACGCTCGTCCATTTAAAATCGATTGATTACATTTTTTTTTATCCGACAGGCACTTGCAGCCCATTAGGTGGTTCGCAATTTTCGTTGGCCACTCAAAACACGTGCTGTTGTCAGCATGTGGTCAACAATTGCAAAATGATGATAGAAAACAACAACAATATGTGGCAACAAAATTCGTTCAAACACAATAGGGTAAGAATTTATATAATAAGGTATTCACATTGATACATTGAGAATTTTTTTTTGAATACATTTTAAAATTATATATTTTTTTAATTATAATTGTATGTTATAAACAAATTACTGATGGTTATTTGAATTATAATTTATACAAAAGAAAAATTTTTTTTAAAAAATCCTTGCCCACGTAACAATGAAAGTAGGTACAGCACGATTGTACTATTTTGTTTTACCTTTTCACATAAAAAACGATTGCTCACTAAAAAATATAGAGGTTGTCCTTTTTACATACCACCAATACAGCATCGATTGAACACACAATAAAATGTATGCGAGAAAAGTTGGTTTATTTATTCAAATTATGATTTTAGGAATTTTAAATATTCTCAGACCATTATTTCCAATTCTTCATATTTTTTTGTATTCCTTAAAAAAAGTGCCCAGTGCCGTTACAAAGTTTTGTATTTCAAAAGAGAGCCCCTTATTTTATTACAAATAAATTAGTATAAAATATTAATGTCCTTAAACGTAATTCAAAATTCAAACGAGTATTTTCTCATTAGTTAAAATGTTTATACTAAGGATAATAGTCTTAAAAATGATTTTACAAAAATATAAAATGGGGACGAGGTGACCGAGTGGTCTGACGCGTCCGCTGCGACGCAGCCGATCGCGGTTCGATCCTCGGCCACCGGGCGGCATTTTTCTCTGGACAAGTCGCGGTGACCGGAGAACAAGTGCCGCCATCCCCCAACCGGGCATGGCAGAAACCTACGGGTGCCCAATAGAAATTCTGCCAAAAACAAAAACACACACGTGTTCCCCCCCCTACAGTCCCAAAACTCTACAATACTACACAACCTACAGCTAATGGCCTCAGTTGCCGAAGCTTAAATCAAAAAAAAAAAAAAAAAATAAAATAAAATAAATATAGTATTTAATTATTTACTTATTTTTAGATCTAGCTAGTATTTGTTATACTGAAGCCATTTTTACGAAACATGATGGATTAATAATAATTACTAAAATGTTTGAATCACTCTAAGTTATTAAACTCAAAAACTACTCGTTCAAATTTTGATTCTAATAAGTCAACATTTTAAGAAAAATTATCCGGTAAATAATTGACAGGAGAAATGAGAGATTCTCATTTAAAAAACCTTAGTTTGTATCTCTATAGGACTCTCCTTGAGTAGTACAAATGAATCTCAAGAATTTTAAAATATGGTTCATAAGTATACTTAAAATTTCACAAATATGATAATGAATAACTGAATTATTGAATATTAAAAAAGGGGTGACCATGCTTGTAGAATTCCCGCATGTATGTAAGGATATTATTTTATTTTTACTGCCCAAATAAAATACCTAATTGATTTATTCCGAGCTGTAGGATTACAAAATAAATTTCACACAAAAATAATATCATAATTATACCATAATATTTAAAAAAAAACTCATCATTGTCGACATCTATAAGCAATACTCGGGAACTCTGTGATTTTACTATGCTACTGCATTCGCATTTAGTGATACATTTTTTTTTCAGTTTCAAACAATATAAATTGTACTTTTCAAATAACCTATTTAATCATAGCATCGTCATCTCACTTAATGTATTTGTTACATTTTCGCAGGGCAATAATGGAGGGCCAAAAAATTCGAACGGGGAGCCATACGAAGACAGTGACGGTCTAACGTGGAGGAGGCTGCACATGAGCAGAGCAAAACTGAAAGCTACAGCTACCACATCTGAACTCTTATCCGGATTTGCGATGGTAACCATGGTTTATAATATTGTTTATTGGCGTTGTTGACTTGTTTAAATTTTGAATGTAATACTTTTTTAAGACTTATAAAAGACATATAAACACAAAATATCATTGGTGCTCACACGTATAGGCAACTAATTTTACATATCATAGATCATCGATTAAATATGAATAAATTTAGCATTGTTTTATTTGTGCATGACGCGAATGCATACATTATTTATACTATTTTTCATCCGCATTACAATATTTATGAAAAGCACAATAAATAAGTCAAATTTAACACAAACTTAATTTATTTGAAATCGCAATGCAACACTGCCTGGAAAATGGCATCAAAAATTTAAATTCAATATAAGATTGTATAGTTGGAATCATTTATGAATCTAACAAACTTAGACTATATCATATACTCCGCTAGTTGTATTTATATTCTATAATAATTAGCAAATGATTAAACAGTATCCATGTCCACCCAAAAATATTATACGTATATGCCTAATATATACAGCTAGTACAGACAGAGTATATAGCCATATAGGTATACGGAGTGATCCATTTAACGTGTTGTTAAATTATAACTCGTTACAAAATAACATGCTTTAAATACTCATTTTAACTTTACTCGTCCAAAATTCGATTTTTATGTAATGAAATATATTCTTAAAAATAAAACAATTTTAATGATAACTAACTAAACTATAAATGTATATTTATGATAACGATAAAATAGAAAATATCAAACAAATTTTTTTTTTAAGAATTTTGTTGCTTAATAATTTGAAATTATGTAAAAAAAATATTTAAAAAAAATTTGACGTTTTTTTTTCAAATAATGAGCATCTTCCATTAAAATATTAAATGGATCTCTCGGTATTTTATTAATTTAATTGCCTAAACTGATTTTTATATTTTTTTAAACATATTTAATTGTTAACAAGGTTTTAAATTTCGAGTTGACTCGAGTTTTTTTTATTAAAATTAGATTTTGTTGAAAATAATTAAGTATGTACAAACACTTAAAACTATATAAAAAAACATTGTTTTATTCAAAAACAACTAAAATTGGCATTGGAAATATGTGTAGGTACATACCATTAAATGGGTCACATCCATATGTCAGTAGTATATTGTATTAATACCGAGAAAAAAAAATAATAACAACGAACTTTAAAACGGGAATATTTAGCATACTGTACTCTTTTTAATTTTCTATTAAATTGCATTTTGTTTTTCAAGTACTATCTAAATTAGAAAATTATGTACGTATATATTATTGTAAATGTGTAGTTATATATCTGTAATGTATTCCTGGAAGTGGACGTATTGCCTGATACGTATGCCAACCAACACGCACTGCTCGAGTTCACTTGCGACTTATTTAATGATACTCGAGTTCGAGTAAATGTGGAACACACCCTTATTCGTATATTAAACCTATTGTTTTACAAAATTCTCATTTGGTCATGAATGTGAAGTTTCGTTTCGTTTTATTTTCACTTTATGAACAAACGCTCAATATAATATGTTTTCAACCCACGAACACTATACTGAAGCTGCTATGATAATATTATATAAACTCGAATCGAATAAACAAAATAATTATTGGTTTAAAACAAATACACAAACAACCCGTTTAGGTATGTGCGTAGGTGCACGATGTGTTTTCGGATAAATGTGGGTTGAATAATAATTTAAAAACAACACATTTTAAATGACATATTTATATTTGTGATAATAATGGAGTGAAACAATCATTTTTCTCTGACAATCGGACGCAGTTCATCGTTTTGACCGTAGTTCGGTTTTAATATTTTCAATATTATGTTTACCTTTGCGTGTCTGCTCGTGTGCTTTTCGAGCACACGTGTTAAACCGTTGATAAAGAGAAAATATTAAATAGGTTATGAATAATTTAAAATTCAAAAGGTTTTGGTTTGTACTTTATTTGAATTTTAAATCATCAGCTCTCTGTAATTTGTGAGGTATTTACAGTACACTGTTAAACAGATAATTTTTTGTTTATCATTATTAATCGACACCAACATTTGAACCAATGATTTCAATTTTGATACATCATTTTTTTTAAAAATGCATCGAGTTGTTATAAATTGTATGTACGTACTTAAGATAATAATATTATACTATATAGCGTCTAATAAAAAAATAATGTTGGCTCAAAAAATATCAAACATAAACCAGTTAATAATAATATTTATAAAAATAGATTTTGACTTATGCAAAAATTGCAGACGAGCTCTAATCTGATCAATGATAAATAATTTATTAGTATGGCAACTTATAATCATTATTACTTATTTATCGTGTTATAGTTCTAGTCTAGAAATAAAAGTAAAAAGTTCAGAAACTACTCATCGTTATAATTTCGATTTTGTACATTAAAATGTTGAAAAAAAAACCACCAGCGTGCAGTGGTTCGCAGTAAATAATAGGATAATGTTTTCTTTGTAAAACAAAAGTTTTTATTGCTCCACATATGAACATTGAGTACCTATAATATAATATTATAAGCAGTCCTTAAACATTTAAACGCCATGGAAAATAATATAAATGTTCTTTACACGCGTGTTTAAAAATTACATATATTAAAATCTAAATAAATTCAAAATTTAAGCGTAAAACTTTGGGGGCGAGAATATTGATGGTTGGAAAAAATACAAAAGTACCTGCTATTTTTAAATCATTGCCGGGCCTATATAGTCAGCTGTTATAATGGTCTAGAGCAGCGTATCTTAAACTGTGTTCTGCGGAACCCTGTGGTTCCACGGAGGTCACTCCAGAGTTCCGCAAAACTTGTGCTTTTTTCTAAATTTAAAATTTAAAATTATATTATATTATTATTATAACTTTTATTAAAAACAATACTTTCATAAAATATTGAAACTAAGTAGTGGTTCTAATTGGCGAGCTGTAATAACTTATTGTTGAAAAATAAATCAAAAATGCTAAAAGGCTAAAAAAAAGTTGGGGTCACATGATAAAAGTGCACATAAAAAAAGGTTCCACCTTCCACGGATAAGAAAGTTTCAGAATTGCTAGTTTAGAGTTCACAGCAGTAGCAGTAATAATAACACTGCAGAATGTACTTGCCTAATATTATGTAAATATAAATAAAGATATGTTTATTTGTTGTTTAATTTTTTTCAATTCATTTCTTCCAAACTTTCTTTTATTTTTGACATTTTGATGGGAACAAATCAAATATGGTGACATTAGAATCGTATTATTATTATTATTATTATTATTATTATTACTATTATTATTAATTCTTTATAGAACAATAATGTAGTATAATATATTTTATATTATTGTAATAAATATTATCTTTTGGAACTTGGTTAATTATTATAAGATAACAGCAAAAATGTATTTAAACATTTTTAAAATACTGACTAAAAAAAAGATTTAAAACCCGCATTGTCGCTTTTGCAGGCAACCCAAAGACGGCATTTTTACAAAAAAATGATGCCGAATGCATTTTTTTGATTCTAGATTAGTAGTGACCAACTTGATCTACGTCCAAATCTCTCTCTCATCTTCTCCAAACGCAAGATTATAATATTTAGATTGCTTATATGGCATCATAGTTTTAGTTATCAATGATCGTTGAATTTGAATTTTTGATTTTTTAAATGACGACTAAATATGTGAACTGTACATTCATTTCGAGGAACATAAAACCACATATATCAACATGAATCATATTTACTAAATTTTTAATTCATATATTGTATACTCGCTATGGAAATGTACAGTATTTTAACAAATTTAGAAATGTCTGTATGGTGACCCTCCCCCTTTCTCAAAGGTCTGCGTCAAATAATTTTGCTCTTGGATCCTCTACTTAATTTTTCTCAATCGAGCACATAATATTTTATAATGCACCTACTTATAATATTCTTTTGTTGTGCGCTGCAGGTGGCGATGGTGGAGCTGCAGATCAACGAACCGACCATGGTTCCGGAATGGCTATTCATCATGTTTGCTGTATGCACCACCGTGCTGGTGGCCGTGCACATTTTCGCGTTGATGATCAGCACGTACCTGTTGCCCAACGTGGACGCCATCAGCAAGTTGCAGAGCACCAAGATGATTCAGGAGTCACCACACGAGCGCATGCGCGGCTTTGTCGAGCTGGCCTGGGCGTTCTCCACCGTGCTCGGACTGTTCCTGTTCCTGGTCGAGGTGGCCATACTGTGCTGGGTCAAGTTCTGGGACCACTCGTTCCGGGCCGCCATGGCCGCCACCATAATTGTCATACCGGTGCTGGTAATATTCGTGTTCTTCGTGTTCCACTTCTATCGGAACCTGGTCGTGTACAAGTGTGAGTCCACTAAGTCCGACATCAAGGAATTGGAGGCCATGAAGAAGAAACTGGACGTGGCCGGTACCACTAAAGTCGTCTGAATCGCGAGGCAGCCGATTGGTAGTTTACGTAATGGTATTATTGTTAATCCAAGGCTCGTAAAAGTTCATGCACAAAAAAACAAGCGCATAAGTGATACATTAAGCTTCACTAAAAAGTTCCGAAATATATGCATTTATATACACTAAAAATAAAAAACTATATGCACTTGAATTAATATGAGTGATAAAAAAACCTTAAGCAAATTTAGAAATAACCAGGTGATATCCATTCGTTTTGAAAATTCTTATTTTATTTCCCGTGATTTTAATCTATAACGTTATTGTCTTTCCGTAAACTGATAAAAATCATGTACAGTAGTCGTACTAGAATAAAAATAAACCTAAACGAATATCTAAATTAAATGTATTCGAAATAATATTATGCGCTAATAACTCCTGAAAAAAATCCACTGTACTCAAATTACCAAAAATGCAAAAAGTATATACGCTATTAAAATATGTACTTTTATTACACTGTTGCGTTGTTGTGTAAAGGATATGCACCTCACTAAGTATTTTTTCCTATATGTAGGGGAAAAAAAGAAAATGTATGAACACATGAGCCTTGATGATTATATTTTATAATAATAATCCAATAGTAATTTATTCGTCAAATTATTAAATATTATAACCATTATTATTACTATTATTACTATCACCATTATTATTATTATTATACACATCATTCCGCGCATTATATAATATATGTTTATATATTACAAACGAAATACCTATAGTAGGTACCTATATTATTGTTATATTATGTTATAATACACGAGCACTTTCAATCGAGAAAATGTACCTATATTATATGTTTTATAAATTATAATAATCATCGACAATGAAGCAGTACCTGGAAAGTCAAAAAATGCAATTTTGAGATACTTACCTACTTAATTAACATTAAAAAAAAAATTGGAATATTTTACTGACAATTATATTGCTCCAATATCATTAATTCTTAAGAGAAAATGTATAAGCTTAGAAGAAAAACTCCGTTTTACTATCGGTTTAACAACCACGTAACACGTTTGACAGATGTATTACGTATCACATAATATGTGATAAAAAAAGTAATAATAATAACATTAATAACACTAGACTATATTATAGTCTAGTGTTAATTTTTACTTGCGTACTATCATAATGATATTCTACTTATTTTTGCCCTATTCACATCGATGTGTCACCTGAAAAATTGGCTTTTTCACTCACGAGGTATTGCTTCTCTACCTATCAATTTTGTGGGCGCCTTATAGTGTCGATCATGTATTTTTGCTCATAATTTACCAGAAAAAAATAACACGCGAATCACGTGCAGTGGCGGCTACGTCTTAAAATTGATAAAATCAAGACAACTTACTTTAAAAAGATACACCCATCCCCACAGTTGTTTTAAGTGACTACCCATGTGATACATTTATACCTACCTAGGTACAGTATAAAAACAAAAATAATAATGTAGTTTACACATTACCACGGGTTGTGACGGATTGACAATATCTAACTTTTTGTTCACTCGTCATATTATACATGATACAGTGAAACCTCTAATTACCGGATACTCTGAGTAGCTGAAATTTCGTCTGCTATCCAGCTGAGCAAGCATAGTCTTCCAGTCGGTCTTTTTTCCTGTAGGATTTTCTTCAAGCACTATAATATTATAATACGTATGAGTGGTTTTTGACTTTACGCCAGCTCAGTGCACTGCAATCCTTTGTTCCTTATCGTTTCAAGAGTATTCGGTTTATGAAAGAGTGTTTCTAATTCATCATTCTTTCGTACCCCCTACTCATACACTCTAAGTGTGTCTTTTAAATGTTCATAAATCTTCCGTAGTGTTTTTCTTTCCACAACTAAGAGTTTTCTTTCGTCATTTTCTCTTAACGGCCATGTCTCTGCAGCAAGTAATTACAAGAAGCATCGATATAATGTATGAATGTTACAATATATCTATGTATTTAACTGTAATATTGTAATACATTATTCCGACCTACCCACTTTCAAATTTGAAAGCGTATAGACTGTTGGATAGCCGCCACTGCGCCTCACAAACCCATCATTACATGGTACCTCGAAAATTGACAAAAGGTCGTATCTAACAAAAGATTGTTAGACAATTTTTGACAATTATTATTTATTGAAATAGTTTGATAACAAATAGTATTATATAATTATTTAGTTAAATATTATTAATAATATTATATTCTAACTGTAAGAATGAATTTTTTTCAAAAAATGTATCCAAATTACTTTTCATCACTATCAATTTTTGTGTCACTTTGTAAGCAATATAATTTTTAAACTTGGATTACAGCTAAAATTGAAATTTTTTCTCGCGCCACCGTTCATACGCGCTTCCTATACCAAGTCTTAGCATTCCTTAAAATAAATAGGTACTACCTATACAACCTTATCAATTATCACGAGTCCTATACTTTAAAAAAAATATATTAAACAATGATGCTACAATCAGACAACTTTAGTCTTCAAGAAGTAATCAACTTCATGAATTTAATTTCAGAAGTTGTGAAACAAAATTATGAGGTCTTGTCTTTATATACTAGAATTAACTGTTATCACTTATCAAGTATATAAATAAATTATAATAACAGATTCCACAAACTACTCTATCAATCGTATCATCATCTACTGCTCTAACTTCAATGAAGCCAGAAAAGATTTCAAAGATCCACCCTAAACCCTTGGTCAAAACTAAGTATTTTTAAGCGTTATTGTAAGCTTAATAATAGAACATGTATGATACGAATTGCTCACACATATACAGTAATGAACAATGCCGACGAAGAAAAAGATTGAAACCCATCGGTGGCCGAAATTAAATTACCTAATAGAATACAAATAATCTCAGCGAACGTGTTAATATATAGATATTTATCTATATACAGTTAAAAACCGTTTACCTAAATCAACGACGATACACTTACTACAAGTGACGTAGGGTAGTAAGGTAAGTAATGAAGTGCCATAGCCTTAATTTTTTCTATATTATTTGTAGAACCAGAATACTTATCATCTGTTACTTTATGACACAATTATTCATGAAAACAATTTTGGGTGGGTAACTTACCAATGTTCCCCTCCCCCTGGATATAGCACTGTAAAATGGTATAAAATATATAAAAGTATACTACAGAGATAAGTTGCATCGACCGTCTCCCGCAAACGCGTATTTCACCGTTAAAAACTAATCGATGGACATGAAGCGCATAGATATATGTGGCATCGTGAGTGGCGTAATTGTCAAAATCGAGTTTTTAGTGTCGATCGACAGACTTTTAAATTCTCTATCGATTTCCGTAGTACAGTTGTGGGTTTTATCATTAGAACCTTAAACAAATATATTTAAAAACAACAAGACAAAGCCACAAAGGTATCGATATGTAACTCGGTTCAAGATAGAAATTACCTAACCTAATGCAACTATATATACAATCCCACGTAATCTGCTGTGAAAAAGTTTCTTATCAAACATTTAGGTTATTCACATTTTCAATTATACAAAGTATTAATTTCATATATTATTATTAAGTACCTTTACATATGAATATTGAATAAATATTTTGAGTTAATATAATATTAAAATGTACAACTTATTTTAATATCTAATTAATCAATAGCTCATATTCATCACATCTGTGAACATATTTATATGCCAATGGTATAAGAAAACATTTGGCACTAACTACAAATAAAAGTGTACTTATACAGGTTCTTGTCTTTTGACTCATATAAGCCAATGTAGGGTTTAAAACCCTCAGTTAAAAAAAACTTTTGTGTATGTTCAATAGTTTTCATGTACTTAAAAAAAGCGAACCATATTTTTAATGTTTAAAAAAATTATAATTCTTACTCTGTGGACTAATTTTGTGTTAGAAAACATTTTCTTTTTTCTTGAAAAACTTACTTTTCTTGTGTCAATAAAGCTTAATAGTGGCTTATAACGGCAGCATAGGTATAATACGTCATTATCGTACTATATGAGTGCAGATTAATATTATTACCTATAGGTAGGTAAGAAACAAATGTAAAAAAAAACTATAATTATATTATAAATAAAGAGGGGAAATTATTATGAAATGATGTATCGAGAAACAGCCGGTGGAGTGAGCGAATTTATTTTTAATAACAGTAATTCAAGCATGTGGAAAAATATAAGTTCCACCAGTTTGGATGTATAAATATAATATACCTAATAATAATAATATTATCGCAATATTGCATGAGTGTGACGCATAATGACATTTATGACAGTAATGTAACGACATTTCATACACGTATAAGAAGTATGGAATATTTGGTGTATACAGAGTAATTCACCGACACATTCACCCCCCATTTTTTGGTTTTCAATTAATTAATTTGGGTTCTTAATTTTTGGAATTTTTAAATATTATATTATACTTATAGAGTTAAATATTTTTAAATAACTTGATTTTTTTCTATCAGTTAAGGAGTACCCTAAAACGATATAAATACTTCTTTTTTTCAATTGAGAACCACCCTTTTTCATTGTTATATTGTATATAGACAATTTTTTTGAAAATATTGACACACTTTTTTCGAAATTCAAACTAGTAATTTTAGAGTTATTAACCCTTAGATTTACTAAGAATAATAGTTCTTATAATGATTTTTAATGTATCGTGTAATATATTTAATCAAGTTCTTATTATGGGTACCCAAACAATGTTTACAAATAATAAAATTGTAAAAAGTTAATATTATTTATTATAGTCTTCATAGCCTCGTATCATAGATTATTATCCTTAAGTAGTATTTAATAGAAATTACTCAATCAAATTTGAATTTAGACAATCAAAAAAAAGTCATCTGTCTAATAATTTTTAAGAAATAGGAGTAATTCTCATTTGAAAGATAGAAGTTGGTATGGCCACAGGACACTTGATGAATAGCATAAAAAAAGTCTAAGGTTTGTTTTTTAAATATTGTCATTCAGGAGGTACACATTATAAGTTCCAAAAATCAGAATTTCAATACGTGATAAATTTTTAAAAAAAAATTGGTTACACTGCCATGGTTGTAGAATCACCCTGTAAATATTTGTAGGGATTGGGAGTTTCATTTGTTTGTATCTATATTTTTGGTCCATTCAATATTTTTGGAATACGATCTCAGAAAGTTTCAATAACATTTGAGTAGTTATAATTTATTAAACTATTCATATTACAATAGCGTATCCAATGAACACAAAATTAAAAACACTTTTTTCGCTTTTCCAAGAATAACTATTATCTATACAAATGTAGGTACCAACTATCATTAGAGTTAATCTATGCATCTATGATAGTAATCGAAATGTATACTTAAACATTTTAAAAGACGAATTATTTGTTTCCATTCATGTATATTTTACAAAATGGTTATGAAGTTGAAGCAGTTAACCATGATGGTAATTGGTAGGTATTGGCAGAATGCAGTTTTGTACGAGGACAAATACAGCGTGGGCCATCCTATTGTATATTTGTGTTAATGCATCATGTTCATTGTTCAGACATGAAGTCGATAAGACTATACAGAGTGATTCACCAAGCATATATGGTCACCCCTTTTAACGTAGTTGCATAAAATCTGATTTTTAACATTTTGAAATTTACTTAGTCCATATTTTTTAATTTACGAGTTATTAATATACCACTAAATTACTAAATGAACGCCCTGTGGAGATTTAAACTTCTGTTTTTTCAAATCAGAACTCCCCTTCTCTATACTGTATATTGTTTAGTGTTTTTTTACCTGAAAATTTTGATTAAAAAAAATCTAAATCTAAATTCGAACTTGTATAGTTTTTGAATGAATTATAAGCTTGTGCGTGCACTAAGCATAATAATATGTGCATTATAGTTTATAATAGATTTTGAATTCATGAGGCCTTAGTGGTTTGAACATATCAGCAATTTATATAAATCCATCAACATTTAAAATTGTCATATAGTACCTATAGTAAAATCGCACTATTTAATGAATCAATTTTTGCGTTTCAGAGGACCTTCGCATGCCATAGACCCTAGGGCTGCCAAATTTCACTCTACGCCAGTGAATATAATATTATACAGTGAAGAATTGAACTACCGTGCAACCTTACAAAATATGTAAAACGCAGTGAGAAAACACTGTGCAGCGCACTCTGTACATAATATTATATTATACAGTACGATAATGTGCGACCTACGCGTTATGAAATATTGTTGACTTAAGGGTGTCATATTATTTACACCCCAATTACACGAGACAATAATAATTGTAAAAGTTTTTAAATTTCCGAACGAAATGGCACTATGTCCCCATGTCCTGTATAATTTATAGGTATTCTAATATATTTTGTCTGTCGACAAATTGTACAGTGTGATTTTCCCAAGCATGACCATTTGCTCAATCCCATTTCGCTTTATTAATTAATTAATTAAAATTCTTAATATTTTTGTAACTTTAATATACCTACTTAAAGTAGATATTTTCAAACATTCGGATTTATTTTATAAGGCTTTTGTAATTTTGTATTCTGTGATGATATTATTAAAAAAAAAATGATATGTATATTGTATATTTAAAATCTGAACTAGTATATTTTCTGAGTTATTGAAATGTGTGTATAGGTACTTTGAATAATTGTCTTTAAAAATAGTTTCATACAAATATAAAATAGGTAATAAGATAATGGGTTATTATTAGTAATAGATAATACCTAATCTAGCACACCTATATATATATATTATACTTATTATACTTTGAGAATTTTTACAAATTACAAATTGTTATTGTTTAGATAGATTAGTAATTTTTATAATTTTTAAACCGTCAAAGTTCGATTAAACAACGTTCAATAATTTAGAAACTTCCAAGTTGGAGGGTACTTAAAAATTCCAAAAATTAAATTTCGAATAAATATGTATTAAAGGTAAAAATGGGGATGAGCAGTCGGAGAACCACTCTATACATAAAATGCATAGATACAAGAAACTATACACGAACACAGTTTAGTAGTTATCGTAGAAAATCACCTTCTCCGTCTTATACCTGTATAATATATAATACGGGCGGTGCAATTAATTCGAACTCTTAACTATTCATACAGAGCATACATACGAACTTACCATTACAATATCCGACATTTTGAATAAACACTCGCTATATACATTCACGGTTCAACGTTATTTTACATCACGTTTTGAGCACCTTGTTTAATTTTCTCACTAGTAAATATCATCAACAAATTCACTTTTATGATATAAACCACAACACGCGTACGAAGTAAAGTACAAGTATACGGAGTGATCCATTTAACGTAAGATACTCGTTATTTCAGAAAACGCTTATGTTTTTGAAAATATTTCTCTTATATAATTTTAAGTTGTCAAAATACAATATTTACCGGAAAAATATATTCTAAACTATTTTTATGGTTATTATTTTATAAGTGCTTCATTCTTTTGAACGATAACATAGATACAATTGTAATTTCATATTCCGAAACAGAATACTATTTGGTAAGCAGAGTAGTTTACCAACATTTTCCTGTACCATTAAACTCCGCTCATCCAAACTTTAAATAATTGTCTCTTATACTCGTTCAAAATTCGATTGTATGTATTGAAGTACTCCAAACAATATTCTGCTTTGGAATAAATAATTGAAAATACAAATATTTTTATATATTCACAGTGAAAAATGTACCTAACTTAGGTACTTATAATATTAACAATTTATCATCAATTTATAATCTATTACAACTTTAAAAGTTTGTAAATAAGAACAAAAATAATTAAATAAATTATAAGTCGATGCCTCGGTAGTTGCAGCCCACTGCTGTTTGGACCAGCTGAAAGTTGTGATAATTACTCGACAAATATTTTTTAACAATACATATCTACTTTGATAAATCTCAAATAATTAATAACTATACCTATTATCTTGAATATTCTGATCTAAATGTTCTCCATCTGTTGAAGTCATATACGTTCTTGAGATGATGATGAAGTCTGTTGTTGAGCTTATTCTTTTATGATGAACGTATTCTGGGCTTGAACTATGCTGTAGAATGGACGTTGTCAGTTCGACCGATACCATTTTATTTTCGATAATTGTCCGAAAATATAACATGACTGACGTGATAATATATATATTTTAATAAATCTTGAATAATAATTATTATTTTAATTTATTCAATGTTTATTGCCGGTGACCCTTGGCATGCTCTGTTCACCGGTCTCTGGTATAGACATCCTATAAACAAAGAATATAAAACGTTTCGTTAACTTACAAAAATTTAATCATTTTTACGATTAGAAATCATAAACATTTCACAATTATTATAACTAAGTCGAAAAAGTCAAGTAAATCATAGTAGGTACGTTGTGTTATAATAAATCCTGTAATATTGTACGAAGATTTCGGTTTAAAAAATGTTGTACCTCAAAATATTATGCATCACGATATGGACCGTACAGGGTCATTTGAAACTTTTTGATTTATCATTACCGGTTCCTGTTCTTGGGAAAAACGTTTAGCGATTCTGTTCTCGTTTCAGCAGTGCTTGAATTCAAAATGTAATGATTCCGCTTCAGGTATGGTTAAACATGTTGAATTACATAATATTGTAGTATATAAACCGATACCGAGTACCATTACACACAATAAATATTGTCAAATTCTTCTGGTGGAGAATGTAGGTAAATAAAATTAAAATAAAATTCAATAATGTATACCATGTACCTATATCATATAAAATATAAATCCAAGTATGCGCTTAACCTCAACAATCCCAATCCAGTTCTTTATCGTTTCAGATGTTATTAATTGTTGGTATTGTTATAAAATAGAACATTTATTTTTATACAATGTTGTATGCAAAAAAGTATTTATATTATTATCTGCATCAATCTTTTTCGAAAATATATTAAAAACCATAAAAAGGCAGATTTTCAGTTTTTTCTTCTTCTTTTTTTTTTTGTTAAAAATGTGACGATATTATACATTTGTAATTTAGTCTTTTAACTTTATACAAATAATTATTTTTGGAATTAGATTATATTTAACATTAAATTATCAATCGTTAAATAAGAGTCTTCGGACGTAAAATGTTTGCTCCGAGACCGAAATAGCAATAAGTAATAATCTTTATTTGATTTTAAGGTTGTAACGGGAAAATCAAATAGACAAACACACCGGTTATAATAATAATATAATAATATAATATTACGCAGACGACTGTTTCAGGATGAAATCGATCAATCCTCTCGTTTCTCGAGGGCCGCCTGTTGCGTAAATATAATAATGTAATTGTTGTAGCTCAGGGGGTAATTGACCACCTGATGCTATATAATATAATATTATTATGTGTATACTAAAAGGCTTTAAAATCCGCTTTGCGTTTATGGCGTTTGCAGTGTTAACTTAAATGCGGGACATTATCCTTTTACTGAGCTTAGAATAATAATAATAATAATAATAATAATAATAATAATAATAATAATTTCAAACGTTTTCAAGTGTATAAAGACCAACGCGAAACACTTATACAGACTCATTTGTAGGTATTATAGTATTCGAATATGTTTTAGGTAGGGTACCTACTTACTTTTGTATGCAGCAGACTCGTAAGTCGCAATTATTTTTATGCTTTTGGTTTAGATGTATAATAATATCACATAATAAATTAAATAAAAAGTTGCCTATTAAAGTTATATTATAAATGACTAAAGCATTTCGGAGTAAAAAAAATACTACTATAGCGTGTCTTCCGCGTAACAGTAAAATTATGCGCATAAATATATTTTTTTTTTAAGATACCGCACGATAATAATAATATATTCTGTTTACGGGGTGTTTCACAGTGCATGATTATCCCACTATTTTATCTTTTAATAATGAGTTTATTCGAATTCTGAATTTTTGAATGTATACGAGGATGTAGTATATAAGGTAATAGGCATATATTAAATCAATGGAGTACTCAGCTTTTTTTTAAATGGGGAGAGGGATATGCATTTTTTTTTGACTATTCTCAGACCACTTTGTAAATCTGAAAGTAAGCTTTCATGCCTTTATCATATACTTCATATGACAAAAATAAACTGAAGGAGGATATGAAACCCTCCCCACAAATTTGTTTTAAATACAGGGAATTCTCTAAATACTGGACATCACTCTCAATCATTGACATTTTGTCCGCTTTTCTAATGTTTCAGTTTTTAAAAAAAATGTATAGTTTGTTTTCAAAAAAAAATATTTGTACTACCTTAAATGGTATGAAAAATATAAGTACTTGAAAATATGAATTATCCAGAAAAACTATACTTAAAAATTCCAAAAATAATGGAATTTAAACTAATGAACAAAACTAACAGGGAAAAAACGGAGATGTGCATAGATAAGTTTTGACGAATACCTCTGTATATACCGATTTTATTTATTGACAGTAAAAACGGTTTAATTTATTAATTTTTCGTCAACTAAGAAATAACTAATAAGACACACTTAAGTATTGACCTATTGAGCAACAATTCTCCTTAAGCTACCAACATAATATTATAAGTCAACATTTTGTACAAAGTATTGATATAGATAAAGAACAAAGATGAATTTATTATTGCTCTGAACGGAAGAAATCATTATTATTATATTAATTATAATATTTTTAAACATCATAATCGTCAATATATTATACCATTCTAACATTATTATGTAAACAAGTTAGGAAAGCTCACTCTGCGAGAGTATTGAATTCCCTATCAAACTTATTTCAATACAACAATAAATTATAATTCCATATTTCCATATTTCTATGTACAACTATTCACTTATGTTCAGTAACTATCCTGACGATAAATAAATACCTATTTATATCGACAATCGTAACTAAGTAGTAAGTATGTATACTAGTAAGTGGCACAACAAACGAACGCGCACGTACCGAACTCAACGAAGATATGAAGTTAACTTAAAATTATGCTACATGATTTAAATTAGTAAACACTGAACAGGCATCTGGTTTTATACAGAGTATGTTTTGCATTATATAATGGCATAATAATTAGAGCAATAAGCTTCATTTCAATTTAAACAATAATATACTTAATATATTAAATAATACTTACCTAGTAGGTAGTACAATTTTATATTTGTATATAAATTAATTTCGAACCCAATAGTAATAAATAATAATAATATATTATTATGACACGTTTTAGCATTATGAAAAACTATAAAAAAATTAACAACATTATATGTACCTAACTCATTGTTTGATGCGTTCATATCACATTGTCACGTCATATAATTATAGTACCATGTCGAATGAAATTAATTTTTTTTTAAAACTTTGAAAAATATTAAAAGAATAACTACTTTTAATTTAATTTTAATAGTCCTTTCATCTTCTAATTAAATTTCACTCAAATCAATTCAAATTATTTATGCATATATTTCCGGATAGTAAGAGTTTAAGACTTCTTGTTATCACTTTATGAGTATTTGTATACAGGGTGATCCATTGATCAAGTGTATACATCATAGACCTTATACCTATTTATAAATTCATTGTTTTGAAAAGTTACAACTTTTTTGAAAATATTTTTTCATATAATTTTACCTCGTAGTAAACAAAAATTTATAAAAAAACATTTTATTTTCAAAATTCTTTATCGTTATAATTTTTTTAACTTTTTTGAATGACTACATACATTTTTTTTAATATTCAAACATTTTTTTTTAGTTTTTTAATTTAAAAATCAAGATTCAAATCCATTATCTACAAAAGAAAACATTGGGGACGGGTATGTTTGCAGGCTGCGAATCACACTTTCACACTGTACACACTAAACACTTATACATGCGCATGTTCGGTTACACATAATTTCGTTCATAATACAAACATTATAAATATGCGAGTAGTGCAAAATTCATATTTGTGTGTGACTTGTACTGACTCTTTTTTTTGAAAACCCATTTTGAAGTGAACGTTAGAATCTCCAGCAGCGCCAAGGAGACAGTGAGACGCGATTAAAGAATAAAGAAGAGCAAAAGACGTATTTTGGTTTTAGACGTTAGAGTGTATGTATATGGTATATAAAGTGTCGTTCAAACAAAAGTCGAGACTATAATAAGAGAATAATAATAATCGCGTATATTGTATAATATAATAATAAGATAAAAGAGCTCGTATATATAATAATATATTATGTATCATAGAGATTTAGATCACATCGAGTGGGGCCCGGTGAAATAGGGCATATGAAACTCAAAATCTAATTGTGCATTTATGTATATACAGAGTGCGGACTGAAGATACGTTGTATAATTAATGTCAAAAACGAGATCGCATATATAATATAATAATGTAATAATATACGAAAATGACGATAAAGCGAATTTTTCGCTTTCCGAGTATTTATATTAAACATTTTGTATTCATAAACTATATAATATTATTATTATGCAAGGTAGGTATGCATTAAACGTGTTTATTATCCTCGTAAATAACTTTTTTCTATTTAGTTTTTTTTTATGTATAATTTCAAACAATTAATTGCTTCATGGAGATAAATAGCAATAGCTATTAAGCTGTATTTTATGATATAGATGGTTATAATTTGTGTAAAGGTTTTAAAATTCAGACATCACTTATTAGTAATTTATGTTATGTTTTCGAGTTATGCACGTTTTAAATAGTGCCTAAGACCATAAGAAAAGAGCGTAAATTAGGATGAGTGGATGACCCTATATTTCCCCGTTTAAAACAAAACAGTCTCTTTTATTTAAGCATCATGTCCCTTTGTCATAAGTTTATGAGAAATTCGAACGGGCCCATTGTCCCATTTTTTTAGTAGATAGCCTTTATTTTTATATTATTATACTTAAAGGTATGCAGGAAAAAAGACACCCTATGCACAAAAAAAAAACGTACATTTTTTACTGCAGTTTTATATTGAATTATTGAAACCTGCAAAGTTAATAGTTTTGAACAACAGTGTTGTTATTTTTTGAGCTTCGACTGACGACGAACAGTCATTGTAATGAATGTGTTAGATTTGAATTCAATGATTTTCATTGCATTCGAAAATCGATTCTAAGCGGAGACGGCTTGCGTCCTAGCAAACTTGTATAAATATTCAAATTTAATAAATTAAATAACTTTACAAAGTTAGAAAAATAAATTTCTCGTGGCTATAAATAACTCAAAAAGGAACAAAATATTTTGAAAAATGTATGATGTATGAAAAGTG